GGTACGGAGGGGGAAGTGGTGTACCCACAACATGACTAACAAAAATGTACAACTGAAATCTCACAAGGTTGTAATCTATCATAACATTAATAAAAAAATAAAAAAAAAATAAAAAAAAAAAAAAAAAAAAAAAAAAAAGAAGCCCTACAAGCTGAGCTGGACGAAGGGCAACCTGAATGCCTGGAGCTGCTGCTGTGTGGGCCACTCACGATGCTTCAGGCCCAACATCTGGAAATCTTGACTGGCTACCGTGCCACGAAGCCTCAGCAGATGGTTCAGCTTGTCCTCAATGAAGAAAAGGCGACTGAAGGGGAAATGAACTTACATTGTTCAAAGGAAAGAAGAATGTCTCTTCCTTCCTTGAACAGGAAGAGGACTGACAAATTGCTAAGAAAACCTTGAGAGCTCAGGAGGGTCAGGGAAGAGGGGACAGAGACTTAAGAGGACTGACAGAGACTGTCTCCTTGACCAAACTTTAGACAGGCTCCTCTGAGCCCACTTTTTGAGTGGCCTCTTCGCTGGGCACTGTCTTTGGCCTGCTGGGTCCTGTTTTAGCAAGAATCCTGCTAAGTCAGTTTAGAGACAGTCCTCTGCCCTTGAGGTCTGCTCACCCTGGCCTGCCTGCAGCAAGAATTCTACAACCCCTGAACCTTCTTTCCATCCACTTCCCCCTCTGTCTGCGCGTTGGCTCTAGACCCCGCTTGTCCTTGTTGTATTTGGAGTTGAGCCCCATCTCTCTCTCCTATTATGACAGTCTTGACACCTATTGCAATAGCCCCATAGAAAGTCTTCCTTACTGTTTGAACAAGTGCCAGAATAATGTTTTCTTTAACACCTCCCACCTGCAGTGCCTGGGAGGGACCCCCTCCACCCTCCCTTGATAAACTGGGATCTTCCACTAAAACCTATTGATATACTGGTGAGTCTCTGGCGAAATATGGAACAGACCTGTTCCACTTTCATTTCTCTGCATTCTAATGAGAGTGTTTCCCCCACGTGTCTGTTCTAATTTTATTTCCTCCTTGGGGTATGGTCTCTTCAAATTCTCCCCTCTTCCCTGACCCTCCTGAGCTCTCAAGGTTTCCTCAGCAATTTGCTGGGGGACAGGGGGAGGCAGCCAGTTTTTAAAGGCCTTTTCTCATGTTGGCCTGTTTACCGCTGTTGTTTCCTGGCTGGTTGTTATCTAACTTTTAATTGCACTTTAACCCAGAGGAGTTTAAAAATTTATTTGCCAACATTTTCCATGTTTCCCTTGTGATTTCATCCAGTGCTTCGCGGTGTGACAATCCTGTATTGCTCAAAGGAGGCCAGCAGGTGACTCGCCGGCTCCTCGCTGCAGCTCTGCGAGGAGGGGTCTCTTCTCCCCACTGTGCAGAGGGGAAGACTGAGGCCTGGGGAGAAGTCGCTTAGCCAGATTCCATGTGGGGGTAAAACATGACCGGTCTGATTCTATTCCTGAGGAATAACCACTGTGCCATGCCAGGAAAGTCTTCCCTTTCAGAGACTCAATATATGCTTGAGTTTTTGGGTTTAGCCTATGATATTTTTTTTAATCACAAAAAACTGTGGTGCTTTCATCCCATGGATTACTACTCAGTCACACAAAAGAAGGAACTATTGATACACGTGACAACTCGGATGGCTCTCAGGGGCATTACGTGGAGCGCAAAAAGCCACTCTGAAAAGCTCGTATCCTGGATGAGACCAGTTATCCGACATTCTTGAAGTGACACAGTTGTAGGGTGGAAGACTAGTTAGTGGTTGCTCAGGGTTAGGGATGGCGAGGGAGACGGGGTGGGCGTGGCTGTGAAGGGGACTCGGGGGTGGAGGAACAGTTCTGTTTCCTGATTGTGGTGATGGTTATACAAATCAAAACCTGTGATCAAATGACAGATCTATAAAAAAGGGAGAGAGTCAAGGTTTCAATGACGAAGAGTGTCTTTTGGAGCGTGGGACGAGGGAGCGTCCACTTGCTGACTTATATGCAACTAGGGCCACCTGATGCAAAAGCCGCCCTTCTCTGCACGGTGCACAGAACCCCAGAGGCGAGAGCCGTGGACAAGACGACTGGTGAGTGGGGGCGCTGTGACAGTGGGCTTCCTGACTGAGGGACGGGGCCCATTGTAGACCTCAACCTTCTTGGAGTGCTTTCAGTTGAAGTTGACATTTTGCTTGTTTGCTGAGATGTAGCCATATTAAGTGGAACAGATTTTGTTTTAATCACTGAAATTAAAGTAAAGGAAAAGAGGAATGGGGGAGGGGAAGCCATGAAAAAAAATTGCAAAAAACCCCAAACCTCAAAGTGGCACGCTGCCCTGCTGCCAGAAAATGCTTAGCTTGGAAAATGTGAAAAGTTGGTGAAAATGTGTCTCAACCAATTTAGGTGAAATGGGTGGAGAAAAACTGACTTTGATCCTTGCCTGTCCCCTCCTGACTCCTCCTTCTCTGCCCCCACTTCTTATTTTCCCCTCAGCTGAGTCAGGTTGAACTGCCCCCGACAGAGACAACAGGTAAAATGGAGTTAACGGACAAAGGCGTTGTCACTTACTCAGCCGGAGGAGGTGGCTTGTCCCCGAGTACCTGGTATTTTCTGTCTGTCCGGTTGGGCTTGGAGTACCGACTGATGCTGGGGAACAAAGGTGGGTCAGTGTTCTGGAGGCTGGGGACAGACACAGGTAGGTCTGAGCCTGTGGGAGCCCTCCCTGGATTGCTAGAGGCGCTGGGCCTGCCGTGGGGCAACCTGACTCCCAGGTCTGGGGCCGAGCCCTTCGAGATGCCCCCCTGCTCCTCGACAGCCCTGAAGACAACCTTGCCGTGGGATGAAGCCTTTACACTAAACCCACCCAAGGCCGCTGAGGGGGCAAGGGGCCAGGAACCTGTATCCTTGCTTCCCTGTGGTGAGGACCCAAAGAAAACACGGCGAGCCACCTGTAGGGCTGCTAGCTTTTCAAATAAAAATACAACACGCCCAGTTAAACTTGAATTTCACAAAGGCAATGAGCAATTTTTAGTCTTAAGTATGTCCCATGCAATATTTGGGACACATTTGTACTAAAAATATTATGTGTTGTTTATCTGAAATTCATATTTAACTGGGCATACTGAAGTTTTATCCGGCAGCTCTAGCAAGAGGGACTTCATTCTGTAACAGCTGAGAGACTGAATCCACAAGTGGACAAGGGCTAGACTACAGATGAAAACAGAATTCTGACCCATAGCCTGCAGCAACTGCCCAGGAAGCGAGCTCCTTATTACAGTAAACAGCTCAGGAAGCCAGCCTGCCAGAAGGCAGACTCGCAGGAAGCCAGATTGTCACCTCTAGTGACAGTCCAGAAAGCTAAACAATAACTCTTGTAACAATCAGCCCCAAATGTCCAAGACTTGATTAAGAACTGACAGCGTCCCTAAGTTTTGTCCCTGCTTCCAACTCAGGACTAACCAGAGAAGGCTGAGTAGGTGCCCTAAATAGTCACGTAGAAACCCCTGCCAGCTGGCCTGCCTCCAGCCTCCCCAGGCCTCCAGCCTCCACGCAGGGCACACCTGGAGCCTTCCTTTTCTCCCCCGGACGGCTTTCCCACTCCTCTGCCTGCCTTTGAGGCTCTGCTGAAATGCAGGTGCTGGCGGCTGCCTCCCTTGCGGGAGCAAGCTCTGAATAAATAGCCTTTGCCTTTCTCATTTGGTTGGCGGTGTTCATTTCCACACTGCAGATGGCTCTGTGTTCAAAAAGACCTTCTGGAGGTTTACAAAGCAGGAATTTCCTCACTGCAACTTCCTGAAAACCAGGAATTAAGCCATGTCACCGAGGGCCCACAGAGGACCCAGAAAGTCCGTTCAGCCATGTGGCTTCTGTCATCCACCTTCTGTAACATCAGAGTCAGGGGTCAGCCAGGGCCCACATTCACTGAGCTATGAGTCTAATGACACCATAGGGCACAGTGGACAGAGCAATGGCCAGGATGCAGAGGCCCAGGACTCCTCCTGCGGCTCCGTGATGCAACCCAAAGAAATGCATCTCCAATGTCCGTTTCTGACCAGGATGATGTGTGTAAGGAGGTAGCAGGGCTCGGCTCCACCAGCTGTCACCATGGAAAACCACTGAACTCAGACAGGTTCTCAAGGTGGAGGCCCGTGTGAGCCGAGTCAGCCAGCAGATCTGACCAAAGCCAGCGTCAGAGCCGGGCCCTCGCTGGGTCCCTTGGAGTCTCAGAGCTGTGAGCACAGGCTGCGCATTCTGAGGACAGAGTCTGGTAAAGCAACAAGGTGGTCTCTGGCCTCCGTTTAGGGGCATGGGTAGGGGCCTGGGAAGGGGAGACCCCGGGCAGCCCAGCATCCCTACCGCCCTGCTGAGGTGGCACTGGCACTGGACAAGGCCTTCATGGAATGTTCTCCCTGTTCCAGTGTCACTTCAAGCCTTTGGGTAACAATCATGCAGGGGAAGAGCAGAGCACCCGACGTGAGGATGTGGCAGGTGGCACCACCAGCTTCCCCACCGCCAGTGTCCTGACACCCACAGGCCTGTTTGTCTGTACCTGTCTGGGACCGAACGTTGTCACACTGCTGGGTTGAGCATTTTGAGTCAGGACATCTGAAACCAAAGGAACGGATGTGAGCTTTTCCCCAGTGACCATGAGGAGAGCTCAGGCCAGGCATTGGGCACCATCCCAGTTAGCCCACAACACCACGTCAGTCCATCCCATATGAGCCCCAATTCAGAGGAGGAAACTGAGGCTCTGAGAGGAGAAGCCCCTTGTGCAAGGTCACAGGCTGTCAGAGATGGGCTCACATGGGACCTCAAGAGCGTCCCCGAAGGTTCAGGGCTGTAGGCCACGGTGGCAGGGCCCCCTTGTGCACCCCACTGTGCCACTCACTGCAGGATCTTCTTGATCACCTCCGTGGCTGGGTCTTCAATCATGGACTTCCCCATGCGGCTGGGCTGGGCAAAGGCCTCAGGGGCGACCATGTCTACCCTGGCCTCCTCTTCAAGGGCTTCTGAAGACACCAGGATGTCACTCTCCATCTCCAGGTCAGTCAAAATGCTACCTTGCAGGCCAGAGAGAATGGCCTAAGTGTGTAGGCCCAGCCTAGGTGCCAGGGAGGCAGGCAGGCTGGGTTCACATTCCAGCACCACCTTGCCCAGGTGTGGTGGTGGAGGCCAGCCGCCTGACCTCTTTGAGCCTTTAGTCTCCCATCTGAAAAGTGGGAATGATCATATCTATGTTAGAGGGCCATTCATTCATTCATTCATGCGTGCACGCTGGCCTTCGAAAATGTTTCCTGAGCGCCTGCTCTCTGCAGGGCTCTGCCTGGGCCTCGGGACACAGGGTGAAGAGGCCACATGTGACCCTTGTCCTCATGGGGCTTACAGTCTAGTCAGAGAGACAGACATTTAATACGCAGTTTTGCAAATAAATGTTTGGTCAAAATTGGGACCAGAGCTGTGAAGGAAAAATTCCAACATCTTCTATGAGACTGAGGGTCATGGACCTGTAAGGCTGGGCAGTATATCTGACCAAATGGACAGGTGAATGAGTGAATGTGTGGACGAGGGAATGGCCATCTCCCCCTCAAGGTCCCTTGGGCCTTAGAGAAAGGGTTGGAGTGGAGCCCATAACGAGCGCGTCACGAGGCTGGTCCTCATGTCACTCTGAGTCTTGTCTCAGCAGTGGACGATAAGAGGCAAGGGCCCAGTTGGACTCCTGGTCCGTCTGGTGGGTGCAGTGCTGGTGGGGCGATGGAGGCTCAGTGTCGGGAGAATCCTGGGAGAACCTCCACATGGAAAGAAGGGGTGGTTCCAAACGTGGCCGTGAGATGCAGGGCCTGAAGAGTGGCAAGAGTGGCGAGAGCAGAACTCGCGGGGTGTCCACTACACTGCCCCAGGCTCTATGACTACCCTCCAGAGGTTGGTTGAGCGCCTCTGGGGTTCAAAGCCTTGTGTGAGGGGCTGAGTATGGGGCGAGGGCGGCACAGTCTGCCCTCTTGGGGCACACAGTCTAGGGGGACAGCCCCTAAAATGGAGACCTCACTGCATGGTCTCTGGGCTCACGGGGAAGTGGGAGGTGCTATGGGGACCAAGAGGTCCTGACCAGACCAGGGGGTGGGAGAAGGCCCAGGGGGAAGTGATGTCTTGAGCGGGGGGAAGTGCAGAGACATAAAGAGGCCACGGAGTGTGGACAGCAGAGGCTGCAGTATAGGTCCAGTTAAAGGGTTTGATTTTACCCTGAGGGCAGGAGAGTGACACAGTTAGGCTGGCCTTTTCCAGCGTTAGGTCTGGTGGCCACTCAAGGAATGGATCATGGAGAGAAGTGACAGGATAAGGGCAGCCAGGTGGGCAAGAGACGGGATCAGAGGGTGGGCAAGAGATGGGATCGGAGGGTGGGCTCGGATGAGGCAGTGGGGGTGGGGTGGAGAGAGGCCAGTAGCTGCTCACGGGTGCAGGTGAGCAGGAAGAGGCTGAGAGGTGGGGCTGTGGATGGGCGAAGTGAGCTGAGGGTCCCGATGGGGGTGAGGAGTTGGTGCCAAGAGGTAAGGGAGTCTCCTAAGAGACCAGTGCAGGGAAGTGGCCCATCTGGGATTTGAACTCAGATCTGGCTCCACAGCCTGTGGCTGTTCCAAGGCATCCCAGTAGGCCTGATGTCCAGCAGGGGCCTGGGAGCCCCCTCTTCCCTCAGGCTCTGCTGAGCCCCGTGGGTCTCCTAGGAGCCCAGACCAAACAGCTCCCCCACCCTTCCCCACCGCCCCATTCCCTCCTTACAGTGAAGACCTCTTGAGTCACAGACACCGTGTCCAGCCTCCAGTTGAGGTACCGAATCCTCTGGCTCAGTTTTTCTTTCCAAGTTTGGACAAACCCAAGGAGGTCTTCCGTGGTCACCATCTAGCAGAACATGGAGGAGAAAGCCCCAGGAAGCAGGCTGCGGGAGGGCAGGCTGGTTCCATCTGCACCACAGGGACGGGGGCTGCCTGGTCAGAACATCTCTTGGTTCGATGGGGGCCCCTCACTTGCAGGGAGGGCCCTGGGGGAGGGGGACACTGGGCTGGCTCTCGGGCAGCTGCTCTGGGACAGCGGATCCTTCACTGACGGGGCACCAGGAGTGCTGTGTGATGGGGACACAGAACATTTCCAGGGGGCTCTTCTAGCTCCAGCACTCTACGTTTAGAAGGAAATGTTTGGTCCAAGATGGCAAGTGTGTAGGAGTGAAATGGCCACAGTGTTTCTTGGGGCTGATCTGGCCATCCCCATGACAATGCAAATACACTGCCCCCCACCCCGGCCCCCGAGCAGCAGTCCCACAGACCGTGCCCCACAGGCGCTCAGGGAAGCAGCCGAGAGGACGCTCACCTTCATACACGCCACTTAGCAGTCCTCACACACTGTTCCCTGAGGGGCTCGCTGACCTGGTAGATGACCCAGCCAGGAGGCGCGTCGGCCTCTAGCGCTTCCTTCATCTTCACTGCACTCTGAGTCCCGCCCGTCCCCTGCCACTCAGCTCTGGAAGTGGAACATGCCCTGCTGGCACCTTGTCCAGGCACTATTCTGTCCGCCTCAGTCTCGACATCCTGCCCTGCTCCACCTCCCTCCCTGCCTTTCTGCCCCCAGCAACCAGGAGGCCCTCCTCAGTGTGGCACTGAGCACACAGCCCTGTTCACACCGTCCCTGGTCCCCACGGCCTTCACCCTGCATCCGATGATCGAGGCCAATCACAATCACTGCTCTGCAGAGGTGGCCCAGCAGCGCCCTCCAGTGGCACAGGACCGCCTGCCCACCCGGGCTCATGTCCCCACCTGGCCAGGAGGCTGTGCAAGCCCCCAGAGCCTGCCCCACACCCTGGCACCACCAGGAAAGGGTAGGAGGGAGCTGGGAGGCAAGGAAATGTGGGAGAGCAAACGTTTCTGCTCCGGAGGGGCGGGGCTGTCCCGAAAGGGCCTGCGGAAAGGGTCACAGCAGACTAACCTCATTTCCCTGTCCCCAGGGGAGGTGTAGAGACATCTGCATGGAAATACGGTCCCGAGCGCCCTCATAGCTGAGCACCCACTGAGCACTTACTGTCTTCTCTCCCCTTCAGTTTTGATACATTTCTACCTGGCTTTGAAGCTGTTCCAGAGAAGAATTTAATCCATCTGATTGCGAATTGGATTTTGTCACCTAGAAAGACTAGAGGTTCTACTATTTGTTTCCCGAATACTTATTTTGATCAAGAAAATGTTCAGCAAAACATATTATCTGAGAGGTGGATTAAGTACTAGAAAAATGAAATCGGGGGGAAAATACACAGTTTTATCAGAAACTAGACCAAAGCAAAATTAAAAGATTTTTTTTGCCATCAAATAGATAAGGTTTAAGCGTAAGATTAGTGACCCACAGTCCTGGTGAGGAGTTAGGAGGACATGCTCAGGCCCTGCTGGTGAGGGGATGTCTGTGGAAGCCAGCTGGAAAGCACAAAGAGCCTCAAAATGTTCACGCCCTAAGCCAACAATTCCAGCTCTGGGACATCTCCTACGGCCATAATCAGTCTCCTGTGCACACGTATTTATCGCCCCATTGGTATAATAATAAGTGACATCCACCAAATCTTCCTCCAAGAAAAGGATGGCTAAGTAAAAACGTCAACACTTCCAGGAGAGGAAAGCCATCAGTTGGTGTTTTTGAAGAATCTTTAAAGATTATCCAGCTTAAAAAATTGTATAAAGAGCCCCTTTCCCCAGTGGCCACTGCCATGATTGTCACTTTAGTGCCAGGAGCCCGGCTGGCCTGGCCATGCTCACCGGCCCAACTGCCTCTCCCAGCCGCACGGCTCCCCACTTTCTCTCGCTCCAGCTCTCTCCCCTCGGCTCTGCCCCACCAGGATTTTGCATGATCTCTCAGGACATTGCTCCCTCCCCTCCTGCCTGGCTGGCTCCTACTTCCCCATCCAGCCTTGGGAAGCACCACTTTCCCAGCCCAGGTTCAGTCCTCTCCTCTCCGCCCCACACACCTCACATGGCCCTCTTCCCCTTTTCTGGCCCAGGTGGCCTGTTCATGGTGGAGGCTGTAAGTTCTGGTGTCAGTCAGACCTGGCTTCACATTGTGGCTCCACTGTGGAGGAGCTCTGTGTTCTCACCTAGGCCACTAAATTACTCTGCTTCAGTTTCTTTCTCTCTAAAACGGGGATAAAAACAGTACTTGCTTCACACAGCCTTGTGAGGACTAACACAGCTAATCAAAATAAGTCGGGTAGCAGGGTGCAGGGTGCATAATAACTCAGTGAGTGTCAGAGGCTATTATGATTTAACCTCTGTTGTCCTGGCTGGAGTGCAGGTCCCACCCGCAGAGCCCACACCGGGATCCCAGCACCTTGGACAGTGCCTGGAGTGCAGCTGTGTGCTATAAACATCTCCCAGAGGAAGAACAAATCCGTCCTACCTCGCACTTGATGTTCACCTGCAGATTTGTGAGCAAATGCTGGATTTTCTCTACGAAAATAAGGTCCACAGACAGGTTAGGGAATTTACTTTCAAACTTATTGATGACATCACTGGCCTGTAAAGGAATATAAGAAGTAAATGAGGGGAGCAAATTAAGCCCCCCTCCCTTTGGAACTTTCAGCCTTTGGAAGCAGAGGGGACAGGCTCAATTAATGGTTGGAGAGGGGTCTTGACCGGACCATCAGACGATGAGCCAGGCGCCTGCCTTGTAGCCGGGGGCTCTGGGAGCCTGGCTGGAGGGCGGGGCTGGGCTCACTCACCTGGTCCATGTACTTACTCTCCATCTTCTCCATGTCAATCATGATTAAACTTTCAAAAAACTCTGTCCAGGCAGCTTCCTTCTCTAGTCGATGACACAGTGAGTCAATTTCTTCAGAAGAAAAGTTGCCTCCCTCTGAAAACAATCTGAAAATAATTTGGGACAAATGAAAGCCATGGATCAGACCTGAAACTTCCCACTCATCCCAAATACTGTGGTTGACAAGGGTTTAGATTAAGTGTTCAAGATCATGGTAAAATGAATGCAAGTAGTTCAAGGAAAGAAGCAGGGAAACAACCCAAATATCCGTTGATGGACGAATGGATAAGCAAATGCAGTATATACACAGAATAGAATATTATTCAGCCTTAAGAAGGAATGAAATACTGACACATGCTACAACCTGGATAAACCTTGAAGACGTTGTGCTAAGTGAAAGAAGACAGACACAAAAGGACAAACATTGCATGATTCACTTATATGAGGTGCCTACAGTAGTCAAATTCATAGAGACGGAAAGTAGAATGGTGGCTTCCAGGGGCTGGGGGAGAGGAGAATGGGGAGTTAGTGTTTAAGGGGTTCGGAGTTTCAGTTCGTGAAGATGAAAAAGTTGTGGAAATGGTGATGGTGATGGTAGCACAACCATGTGAATGTACTTAATGCCACTGAACTGGACATCAAAAATGGTTAAAATGGACAACTTTATGTTATGTATATTTTGTCACAATAAAAAATTAAGCAGGAAACAAGACCACCCCTCAGTAGAGAAAGACCGGATGCTGGCTCCCACCTGCAGTGCTTGATGAACTCAATGTTGGTGTAGCAGAGCTTGCCCAGGCTCTCCTCCAAGTACTGGCAGAAGCTGCGCAGGGACACCTGGCTGACCAGCTCCTGGTGCAGTGTGCTGCTGAGGGTGACCAGCCTAGGGGACATGGGAGGACAGAGGGGTAACCTGGACGAGAGCTGGCAGCCTGGGAGGCTGCTGTAACTCCACATGCCGTGCCCGGCCATGGTGCCACCAGGACCACTGCTTATCTTCTCTGGGTAGGAAAAGGGGCATTAGAAGGAAGTTCAAAATGCCAGTGTGCGCAAGACATAGTGTGGAACTCTCAGTGTGCTGGATTGGAGGGCACACCTCTCCTCTCTGGCCCTGCCAGCAAACTGGTAAGAGTTCCCAGGTGCTACTGGGTCTCCTCGGCTCCAGCACACTTTCTCTCTCTAACTCTCAGCAACAGACAGGGATAGAGCCTGCAAGATGGAGAGTCCTGGGGAGCAAGTGGGGAGCAGGCAGATGGGTGGAGGTTGTTCGGGAGGGAGGGGTCTCGGAAAGAGAGTCTTACAACCAGCACAAAACTGGGCAGTCAGGTTTGCCCCTTTATATCAGTGGATATTCATTCCCAATGAGCCTGAATTCCGCTGGACTTCTCAGTAAAAAGAACCGGGACTGGGCTTCAGGAGCTCTGTCCTAGTCCTTCAGAGCCAGCAGACAGCCCCAGAGCACCCTCCCCACCTCCCTATTGCCTGCAGTGGTGAAAGTGCTGTGGTCCCAGCTCTGCCAAGAATGAAGTGCATGGCTCTGTGATGGTGTTTTCCCGGCCTCAGTTTCCACACTGTG